GTTGCTTCTCAAGGACACTCTGACAGGACTGTTGATGGCTGCATTTACTGCCAGGTACTACAGCTACAGTCCCTGCCTGTGTATATACACACACACCAAAGAATGAAGATATATATATTTTTAAAAATAAACAATATTCCATTTGCACTGGATCAAGGGGCATATAGGTGTCCAAGAAGCATCTCTTTCACCCCAGACGCCCTTGAAAAGAACAGGATGTTAAAGTGAATATGGAGATTTACTGTCAGGTGACTTAACTGGTATTGTGCAGCGCGGGCACAGCCAATATGGATGTCTAGAACCTGCAGTGCTGAAGGTTCTGTTCCTGTATCACTTACCGCTCTGCCCTTGAGTATTTGTTTCACGGACAGAAAAGTATCTGAGGACATAAGGATTCTGAGAACAAGACTGCATCTACAGTATAGAGTGTCCGACACAGCATCTGAACAAAGAGGAGCAAAACCAGAAATGCAGAAGTACAGCAGCTTTTTAATGCAAGGAAAACAAACAACAAAAAACTAATGTTATATCTAAAAAATGTAGCTAGTATGGAAATGTTTATAAAAACTTATATCTAAAAAATGTAGCTAGTATGGTCTACGCCCATAAACTATTATATTGTTCCATTCTAGAATAACCATAGCATAAACCAAAATCCAAAGATCCAAAAAGGTTTGCTTATTAATATATAAAATAATACATACATTTATACATTAACAGCTGAAATACTTACTAGAGTAAATGACGATTAGTTCATAATAAATAAATTAGCAAATTAGCTATTTTCCATTAAAACAACTATCTTAAAAACAACTTTAAGCTAGACCAAAATTGCTAAAAGATAGCAATGTAACTGTAAATAATGTTAAGATCATTTAAAATAACCTATAAACATGAAAAATATATTGGTTTTAGGCAGCTAGATGTATGAAGAGACAAAATTTAAAGGATTACGACAAGGATAAAAAAACAAAAACAAAGCATATATGCACAGGAACTAAAAGGGAATCGCATTACTGCTTAAAGCGTGTGTCGTATACTGTACTCAGCTCCTGTCAAATGCCCGCTTTTGTAAATATATAATCTCAGTCACAGGTTTGCTTCAGTATCCGTTCATGCAGTAACAAAAGCACAGGATGACCGCATTACATCCGTTATCTAGCGCTTTAATGCCCTCTAGTGCTTCTGGGGAGAAATGCAATTGTTGTGAAGCGTTTTTTGATTATTATGAATAGCTCTGAGGAAACTACCGTGTGTGAAAAGGTATCAGGAATAGTGACAGAGACATTATTGAGAAATAGAGTAAAACTAGAAAATTAAATGATTACATTTACTCTGCGTAAACCCACTTGGTTGTGAATAGTTATTGCTTCTCTTTATTTTTTTCTTTCATATTGGCTTTACGACACCTTTGGTCGATTGGTGAGCCTGCCATCGTCAAATGATCTACTCTCGACTAGTCATGCCTACTTGTTTACAGTCTCTTTCCGAACATGGCTGCCAACAATCACAGCCACAGCAGTTAGAAATCGATAACTGCTATATTACCCAACCTTAATAGACTCGAAAGACAAAAAACGACTCACGGATATAAGTCCTTTCATTTTCTGTCGGTTTATTTGGTCGATCTCGTTTTTCTCTACTCCCTTAGTCTTTTTAGCCAGTCGGCTAGCTAGCTTCTCCATAGGGAACAATGACAGCCACTTCTGCAGGCAACAGCAGCGGCTGTCTTTCCGCAAAGGGACTTGATATAAGTCTGGCTGCTCTGAAGCGACAAGACCCATATATCAACAACATCATGGACGTGGCCAGTCAAGTTGCTCTTTACACATATAACAACAGAGCCAATGAGTGGGTAAGCACAGACCTTTAGACTGTACTGCTAATTTAGCATAGCAGGCTGTTCCGCATGATTCTGCGCGCTCCGACAACAACGTCGATTTCTTTTTCAAAGTTGCATTAGTGAAAACATCCACACTTAAGAGCCGACTATAAATCAATAATAAGAAACATTGTATATATTATTAAACATTGTAACATATTGTATATATATTAATTTTAAGCGTATATAAAATGTAACAATGAAGACGTTTTATAGTTGCAGACGTCACATAGGCAACTTTTGTGATTCTTTACATTCCTGAAAAATGTAAATGTACTCACATCAGACCATTTGCCCGTTGCAGGAGAAGACTGAAGTGGAAGGAACACTTTTCATCTACACAAGGTAAAAATCCTTTGTCCAGATTATCAAACCGGTCGTTCATTTGAAACGCGTGTTTTCTGCTCACACGTGCTGCAGCAAATGTCAATCAATGAATGTGTTGTGATTGGACTGTTTTAAAGTCAGAAACATGTCAAACTGTTTGTTTTTTTTAATTAAAACGTAACCTAACGTTACAAGACATTATTTTTATAACATTTGTATGTTGCACTTTTTATCTAAATGGTGCCTTATGGTTTGCCCTTATTTCTTTTCACACACTAATTATGTATTCAATTAATTTCACTTTTTATCTGTCATCGATCACAAAATGCCAGCATTATATATGGTGTCAAACTGTTTTGCCATTGCAGTGACATATTGTACATCTCCTAATCTCTGCTTTTTTAAATACACTCATTTTGTTTTTATAAGTCATAATATCACAGATGACACTATTTTATCCATTGAGCAGGTCATCAAAACATCCTTTCCCTAATATTTCTGTAACGTCTCCACTTCGTCTTACAGACTGGCGTCACCCAGACATGGTTTCACCATAATGAACAGACTCAGCATGGAGAACTTAACAGAGCCCATCACCAAGGACCTGGATTTCCAGCTGCAGGATCCCTTCCTGTTGTACCGTAATGCTCGATGTAAGGCAACACTAACACATACTTAATAACATGACATGCTCGTCAGGTCACAACTTTTTTTGGATTTTTATCAAATTTGCTATATAATGATCTTTCAGCACAGTTTTCTATTTTCTTCAGTGGTCTCCTGCAGTAGCAGCATCTATTTATCTGGGCCAAAATAGCAGCAGCAGTTATTTCCAAATTACTTTTTTCTACATCCTTATGCCTTATGTAGATGGGCAGTTTGATGCAGATTAATTGTGATGCCTTCATTCAGAGTGTGGGGGAACCAGTCTTTCCATATAAGGAGCTGATGTATTCTGGTCAATTCTATCAGCTTCACCTCCTCAGGACTACATCTGGCCAAACACACACACTCACGCAAACACATCTTGGAGTGGGGCCTGTGCCACGGGAATGAAGCCAGCCAGTGGAGATTAGATACACTGCAACAGTCACTGATAATCTAAACACACACTCTCTCTGCTGGAACTGCTGACATACACAGACCTCTCCCTTCTCTGGTCATATTGTCTTCTCTGGAATTAGTCATGGGCAGGTGGAATGCAGTGTTTAGATACCCTGGAATTTCTTTCTCTTACTGTGTTCTACTTACTGTAAAAGTGCATCACATTTGCTCATGCCTTAACAATGCAATCTTCAGACCTATTTAGTGATTGTACATGCAATCAGTGTTAGTAATGGCACATAACCAGACCCTTAACCACTTCTGGGAACAAAAAGGGATTTGAAAACATTTTAATGTTCACAATCGACGCTCATTTAATAACAATTTCCTCTGATAAAACATTAAGATTGCCTGGGACTATGTGAATTTATCAGTGGATAATGCTTACATAACAAATCTAATAGTTTATGAATCTGATCAGTTCTCCAACTATAGTCAGTTATTATCCCTAGTTACCAAGGTTCAATGTTTTATTAGACATCCACTCCATATTCTCCACTGTAAGTAAACGAAACCCCAGGTAGTCTCCTAATGTCAAATACTTCCTAAGGAACAGCAGGGGTCAGGGAACATTTACTGAATGTTGACTGGAGGCTCATTTCCAGTTAACTGCCGTCTCAGTGCAGAAAATATGTTTTCACTAAGGCTTTTTGATGTACAATGCCATTTAAACACCAGGCTGTCGGGAATGCCCTCAGTCCCGCTGTGTCGTGACCTCTGTGCAAAGGGTCGTGGAATCTTATCAGAAAACAAACAACTGGCCCACAGTTCTGCCTAACTTCCTGGAATGGCAGTTGGCACAAAGTGGCACTGCAGGCTAAAAATAATCTGCAGATACACTGCACAACCAAGAAAAGAAAATTCAGTCCGGGCAATACATTTTTCCCTCTGACAAATTTCCCTGTGCACAGGAACTGACAGGAGACAGATTCTCCAAGATCTAAACAAACAAAGTTAGTCTTTCAACACCTTTACTTTATATTAGGTGATTGAATAAAACATTTGAATAATTTCTGAGCTGGTTTTATTTGGTGATGTTAATAAATCCCCTTTTGGTCTTAGTTTTGAGAATTGTGAATGGAAAAATTGTGTCATTCTTATGCTTTTGTATTATTATTACTTTTTAAATTTGTGGTACTACATGCCCCCCATGCCCTGTACTATGAACTGGAACACATAAGAAGACCAAGATTTGTAACTTGTATTTATAAAACGTAGGAGACATTTCCCAGTTTCTCTTTTCTATTCAACAGCTTCCAGTCTACAGGGCTTGGTGACAGTAATGAGTTATTTAATGAAAATGGGTTCCTGTGCAGCCAACATTCTGACCAATAAAAGCTTGTGTAATCGGTCTGCGAAACAACACCAACACATCAGCTGTTTCCATTATTTAGATTAGGGTTTTTATATTAGGTTTGTTGTTCCAAATGACTCTGCGGCACCTCCCCAACACTTAACCTCACTGTTACACTAATTACCTGTCGTGAGTCAGGAGCTTTCTTGGTTCACTGTAAAGTACTTCCAAACTAATGATACGAGTACTTTAGCTCTAGCTTGTGAGTGTGAGAATCCTTTTCCTGTCCTCCGACGCAGAACACGTGCAAAATGATCAGCTACAAGACCAGCCAGACGTGTGCTGGTTGTCAGATCATCTGAAGTTAGTTAAAGGTATACTGGACAGTCTTACCTCCAGGCCGGACAAAGGTGTATCCCAGGTCCTTCTCTGACACCAGCAAGCCTTTATATCTGACCTCAGGTTCCTCCTGCAGCCTCTCATGTTTAGGTTTTCTCTGAAACAGGCGTCTCAACATGGTGCTGGTCCTCACTCAGTAGTTCTGCAGTCCAGAAGCTTTTCTTTCGTTAATTTGTGCCTTGATTATTCCTTTAATTGCAGCTCTTGTTGTTGTTATCAGGCAAAACATCCAATAAAGTTGTAACTTAATTAGGTGAAACTTAATTCGGTTTTTCCTCATGGGTAAAGAAGGGTAACGGCACGTAAAAGGATCTTGATTTAGTAGATGTAGTTCACTGTCCTACTGCAGGTACGGCAGTGACTCTGAAGAATTAAATAGAAAAGATCTGACCAACAGTAAGGAACAGAGTGCAGCTAATATGATGGCATCCTCCCAGACTGGTGTTTCAGTAGCAGTAAATCTCAGTGTTTATAGTGAGAAATTCCAATAGTAGAAGTGAATGAAGTGATGCTTGGTCTCAGATGACAATTATGCCAAACATGCTTAACTTTAGTGGCACGTACTCTGGTCAGAGAACAAAATACAAACTGCTCTGAACATTATGAGTAATGGCGGTGAGTTCTCTCCAACATGATCACACACTCTCAGCAGAAGCAAACCATATCCATGCAGGACTATGGTGCAGCTCACAAAAGTCAATGGACTGTTAAGTATCCGAACGTCCAAAGAAAACAATATACAGTTTTTGTAGTCCTTAATACTGTAGTAAAGTCTACTAATATCCTGGGAATAATGTAGTATCAGAGCACATTGAGTTCCCGTGCAAGTTGGTCCAAAAACAAAAATGTAATTTCTTTAGAGCAGAGTCCTAATAGAGCAGTAAAAGAAATCTGTAGCTGTTTGAAACACTTCCTCCAAGACTCGGAGAAAATCTCAAAATGGTGTGTAAAAGTGAAAGATGTTCCTCTGCTGTCCCATTAGAAAGTTACTGTGGATCTGCAGCAGACAGCACATGTGCACCAGAGTCCACAGTGTGCCTGCTTTGTCAAAGTAACAGCGTGCCTGAGATGATGACAAAGTCCTGGACCCCTTACAGGCTCCAGTTGCGTGATCAAAGCCCCTCCTCTCTCGTGCTGCGCAGCGATAACATCATTTTCTGAATTGACATTTCTCAGACTGCCAGCCTTTCTCAGGCTTTTCAGCTGTTCCACTGAAATGATTATTTTTGACCCTTTGATGTTGCAGTGAGAATAGTTCCCAGTCGGGTCCGTGAAGTTAAGATCTCAACTTCCTCCATGCGATCAAAGTTGTCCCCTCTGTCTTCACTTTACTTCCTCTCATTCTCAGTGTCCAGTTTTGGGTGACCACAGCTCCTCCTTCTCTTTTCCTGCTCTTCCTACATTCACCGAGACAGTATTTATTTCTCCTTCTATCCTTATCCTCCTCCACAACCCAACGTTCATCTGTCACTCCCTCCTCATTCTGGTTTTCTGTCGTACTCAGGATGTTGTTGAGATCTTTGTCCAAATCCCTGCTGTCAAGTACGTCATTTCTCATGACCTTTTTGAACACACATGGGCAAAAGAACTGGAGGATTTGCATCAATTTTCATTGGATGAAATATAAGAATACTATGAAAAAAAAATTGGATTATGCTAGTGGACCATTAAAAATACGAAAATACACATTCCTACTACCATCAATGCTAATATCACCATTGGTGACTTAAACCCGTCCTGCTTCATTAACAAACCTTTATCAATGGTTTCTTCTCACCCTTGTTTATCTGTCTTGAGTTTCCAGCTCTCTGTCTTTAACTGTGTTTCTCTCAGTCTCTGTCAAACTTTGTCTCATCCCCAGTGAGCACTAAGTGGCTCTGGCTCCATCACACACTTTCCCGCCGCCGTTACTTATTTGGTAGTGGACTCATTTTTCCCAGGCTCGACTGAACCCCACTGGGTGTCTCTGTGTGTTGATCTGTGTGTCTCTGTGTGTGTTTGCACTACCTCCGTAGCTGGCCTGGCTGCATGTGTCTCTGTGGGACCATGTATGTGCGTCTTTGATGTGACCATGGCAGTAACACTGTGGGCCACACAAACACAAAGTCCTCCCTCCTCTGACAGCCCTGTTTCTGTTTCCGTCTACTCTCTCATATCTCAAACACTTAGTCCTTTTTGCTCTCAGGCCTTATCTTTTCCTGAGTCCATTTTCAGAGGTGTGTTTAGTGACGTTCTGACCCTGGGTGAACGAGCCCGATCTTAGGAACGCCGGAGCGTAATGATTTGTCAAAAACTAGAAGAGAGAAAAGTATGGTAATATTTTAGAACATTTTTCTACAAAAACAATAACATGCAGTGACTTCTGTGCATTAACATTTGAGTTTGTCAAATCTTTATGTGCATATAAAATAAGACAAAAGATAAAGTAGTCCCTCTGTTGTGATATAAACTGACTACTCACAGCTGTGTGTGTGTGTGTGTGTGTTTTGCCTCCTTCCTCCCTTGGTGAACATGTTTGTGTATTTTACGAGACTCATGAGGCCCATGTTTGACTCTGTGATGTCACTGATGGCTTCTGTTCCCACTGCTGTGGCTGGAACAGACTGTGAGCCTCTGGGTTTAGGAAGAGCAGCAGACCTAATAATAAGTCGTTAACATGTCTGTCAAACCTGTACTGATGCAATAATATCAAAGTCTTACTGTCACGTGTGTGTTTTCATTAGATTTTCAAAGGTTCTCAGGGTCAGTGGTGGTCTACCAGTATAAAGACCAGACACTGGAACATTTAAAGAAACTGACATTTCCCTTTCCTCTGTATAGGCAGATAATTTATTTTTGGTATTAAGTGGGTTGTGCTCACAAAGTAAACCTGGATAAGTTTAGTTTTATTTGCTTGTCAACCTGACTCTGCCTCTGTTTCCCACCAGTGATTATCCATGGCATTTGGTTCTATGATAAGGAAGATTGTCAGCGCATTGCCCAGAGAATGAAAAAGTAAGTAGATTATGTAACTTACACTTTACTATATACAGTAATACACAAATAAAAATGATTGTGCATTACATTAATAAAAATTTTTTCCTGTAAAAATATTTTCTAAAATCTTAGCTTCTTTTAGCCTTGGCTGTTATGAAGGTTAATGGACCGGTCTAAGTTAGGGGCAACAGTCAAAGTTTTCAAATCAATGATTTATAAATTATTAAATTGTCTTATTTAAAGGCCATGAACCAGAAAAAAAACTTCATTAGTGTGTGTCTGTCACCTCGAAAACATTTTTAATGGTCCCCTCTTTGTAGTCTGACCCAGCAGGAGCTGGTCCAGGCTCAGACTCAGGGCAGCTGGCCATCCCCGGCAGTAGGAGGAGGTGGAGGAGGAGTAGGAGTGGTCGTCGTAGGTGCAGGAGGAGGTGGTGACAGTGGAAGAGGTGACGGCGATGGGAAGGCAGTCGACATCATCCAGATGCTCACGAAAGCTCGAACAGAGTTTGACAAGGTAAGCTGTGAAATGGGAATCACAACAATATTATTATTAATATTAATATATTATTCTTCAACATATTTTCTTTGTTTTTCAGGGAAATTCATCTTCAGAGCCAAAGGAGATTGGTGGCAGCAGTGTCATATACGGAAACCCCAACCTGATCAAACCAATACCTGTAAAACCAAACACTCAGGTAGCACACCTCCTGCCTGTTGGCACTCAGTGAGATTCTCCTGTGGTACATTATCATTACTATTGTCCCTGTGTTGTCTCCAACAGGAAGGTGAAGTTGCTGAACCCAAGCCTCTGTCTCTGGCCACTCTCTTTGGCTCCCAGCATCAGCATCAGCATCAACATCAACACTCACCTAAACCTGTTACTGCCACATCTTTGGAGGACTTAGGGTCCGCAGCAGGGAAAGGCACCCGCCCACCTGTTGCTCGAACTTTGACCTATGATGGCACTCTAATGACCTCTGGAAGAAGTGGGATTCCCATAGGAGGAAGTGCTGCCCTGAGTGGAAATATAGAGGGAGGAAGCAGAGCTGTTAGTGGGAAGGAGGGTAGAAATGTTGCCGGCCTGCTTCCTAGTGCCTCCACCTCATCTCCTCAGCAGCAGCAGCAACAACATTGCCCAGCCATCCAGAAGCTGATGCAGGGACAAAGAGTGGGTGGAGGTGCCCTCCAGACTCTGTCTGAGTCCCCTGAGAACAGGCTCTGTGACAATGGAGTGCCACTGGAGCACCACCATCATCACCATCCTCACCCTAATCAGCACCATCACCACCATCATCATCATCACCTTCAGCAGCAGCAGCAGCAGCAACAACAACAATTTCACTCTGACCCAATCAAGAGACTCTTTCAAGCCCAGTCACTTCTTCCTCCCTCCTCTGCCTCCTTCACTTCTCCTGCTGGTCCTTGTTGCCCCAATCCCGCTTCACTGCCCCCTCTGCAGCAGAGCCCCCATCAGACCACAATGGTGGATTCATGTTTACACCTTCAAGCACAACAAAACCAGCAGATGTGTTTCAGCCTGACGAAGCCTCAGGTAGAGGCTCAGACCAGCATCCAATCAGCTTCAACTTTGCAAGGAGCAGGTGAGCTGCAAGAACTTCAGAACATCGTTTAAGACTAATAAAGTACACAGTTAATAAAGTGTTTTATACATTGATGTTTTTTGTACTTCTCCAGGTTTGCTCCTGTCTCAGGTGACAAATGACCAAGTCATTCAGCCTCCACAAGGTATAACTATTGTCATATATATAAACTTAAATATATGTGTACTCGAAATTAAAGTTGGCCAGAATATCAAAAATTATAGGTTTAGTTCTTCACTGATGATGTGATTAAAATAATTTCTCTCTTTCTTTTTTTTTTTTTTCAGGCCTGTCTTCTCAGATGATCGGCGTGGTGTCTCCTCACGAGCTCCTCCAAAAGCTCCAGTTGGTTCAGCA